GAAAGGAGGGGGCACTTCCGTGGGTCGGGTCGGGCTGGCGAGGAGCACCAGAGGCCGCCCCAGAAAAAGCCCCCGCCCCCCCCTCTGCGGGTCTCCTTGGCAACGGGAGAGAAGGAGGGAGGGAAAGAAGGAAGGAGGCCCTGGGTCGCGCCCCCCCCAAAACAACGGGGACGCGCCAAGGAACGGCGCTCCGTTACACCCAAGGCGCCCCCCCCTCAAGGCGCACCGGCGGGCAGGCGGGCCTCTTTCCTTCCTTCCTTCCTGTTTCCCGGGAACGGAGCCGGTTCGAGTCCCACCTCCCCCCCACCACATCCCGAGGCGCCTCCCCGTTACCTGCCCTCTTCCTCCTCCTCCTCCTCCCGGCCGGAGAGGAGCCGCTGCTTCTCCTCCTCCTCCTCCTCCTCCTTCCTTCCTCAATTTCTTTTTCTGCTGCTGCTTCTTTTTCTTCGTCGCTCCGGAGGCGAAAATAATAAGAACCTCTAATGGCGGCCGACGCGTCTGCCGCTGCTCTGCGCGAACATGCCACGCACTGCGCAGGCGCGCGTCCCCGTAACCGGATGTGGAAAGGCGGGCGCGAATGGTGGCCCCGCAAACCAATCGGAGGACAAGCGGAGGGAGACGAACGCGGAGAGCCACCAATAGGCCAAACCTGAAGAGTGGGCTGGGCGGCAGGCACCGCCTTCGCCGACCAGGAAGGTGTAGCGATGATATCGGTTCGTGTCCTGGGGCGGAAAGGGGCGTGGGGAGCTTTGGTTCCGGCTCTTGCGACGCCTGTGAACCGGGTCAGAAAGAAGAAAAGGCGGCCTGGCCCAACCTGGCGCCCTCCGGGGGTGTCGGACTACAGTGTCCATCAGCCCTCCCATCGCCCGTAGAGGGTTGCCGGGGGCTTAGGGGTGTTGTAGTTCCAACCCATCTGGAGGGTTCCCAACTATTCCCACGACAACCCTGCGAGGTAGGCCAGGTCGAGACGCTAGCTGGCCCACAGGTGCCCGCCAGGCAGTTTCACAGCTTAGGGCACCTCCCAAGCTCACAGACTGTGGCTTCGTCTCCT